CCAGGTATAGAGGCTCCTGCTCTAGGTGCTAGTGAGTCTGCTGCTCCAGGTGCTGGTGAGTCTGCTCTCCCAAGAACTGCGACTACTGAGGCCTTGCACACTTTCACTCTTGACTCCGGTGCTTCCCGCTCTTTCTTTCGCGACTGCACCATACTCACGCCGCTTAGTCAGCCGGTTGCTGTCTCCCTGGCGGTCCTTCGGGTGTCTTGTCCCGGCGGGAGCCACTCTCTCCACCGCACCTACGCGAGTGGTTTGCTCAGCGCTGGAGCCATGCTGCTGGAGCTGGAGGTCCTTCTGCTGCTGGAGCTGCAGGAGGTACTGGAGCCGCTAGTCCCGGAGGTGCTCGTACTGGAGGTACTGGAGCTGCTGGGGCTGGTGGTGCTGCAGAAGTTGGAGCTGGAGGCGCTAGAGCTGTTCCTACTGGAGGTGCTGCGGGTGCTGGAGCTAGTGGTGCTGCAGGAGTTGGAGCTGGAGGCGCTGGAGCTGTTCCTGCTGGAGGTGCTGCTGGTGCTGGAGCCAGTGGTGCTGCAGGAGTTGGAGCTGGAGGCGCTGGAGCTGTTCCTGCTGGAGGTGCTGCTGGTGCTGGAGCTAGTGGTGCTGTAGGAGTTGGAGCTGGAGGCACTGGAGCTATTCCTGCTGGAGGTGCTGCTGGTGCTGGAGCTAGTGGTGCTGCAGGAGTTGGAGCTGGAGGCGCTAGAGCTGTTCCTGCTAGTGGTGCTGCTGGTGCTAGAGCTAGTGGTGCTGCAGGAGTTGGAGCTAGAGACCCTGGAGTTGGGGGTGCTGGAGCTGTCTCTGCTGGTTCTGGTGTTGCTGCACGGCTGCGGCCTTGCTTCGTTCCACTCCTTCTGCATGTTCTTGGTCTCCCGCCTTCTACTGGTCCTACTCCTCACTTAGCGTGGCCACCTCCTATCCAGTCGCAGTCGCAGTTACAGCCAGCCTCCCCACTGCCTGGTCCTTCTCCTTACACTGAGCCGACCGGAGATCTTGCGGAGCGTCGTGAGCCTGCGTCTCGTCCTGCGTCGCCTGTTCGCGCGCGACGCACTGGTAGTCGTGTTCCGCGTACGCGTCCTCCTCTTGTCCCCGGCACGCACCAGATGGCACTTCGTCCTTCCTCTGTTCCACTGCGTCTCCCTCTGCCGTCTCCTCCTGCGTCCTCCCTTGCTGACGGTCCGGACCCCGAGTCTGACTCACTTCGTGCTGCCAGCCCTTCCGTCACGCGTCTGCTAGCTACTGTTGTCACTGACCCTTCCTTTCAGTCCACTACAGCGTCTGCCTTAGTTGCTGAGCTTGTCGACTTTGCTGCTCGCTGTCGTCTAGACTACGCCACTAGTCTTGTTGTTGAGTCTGAATCTGTCTGTCCTCCGTCCGTCGGGGTTAAGTGTGCTCTTGGCACGGACGTCCTTGAGGACAGGCAGGAGGACTTTGAGTGCTTTGCAGCTGCTTTACCTCATCTCGTGTCCATGCTGATTGCCCCTGAGGGAGACCCGGATGCACCAGACATCCTGACCCCGCGCTCTTACGCAGAGGCGATAGAGAGTCCCTACTCCTCTTAGTGGCAGTCAGCCATGGACGCAGAGATGGCATCCTGGAAGTTCACAGGCACTTACGTCGACGAGGTTCCCCCTCCTGGGGCGAACATCGTCAGTGGCATGTGGATTTTCAGGGTGAAGCGGCCGTCGGGTTCTCCGCCTGTCTTTAATGCGCGTTACATTGCACGAGGCTTCATTCAGCGACAGGGAGTTGACTTCTTCTAGACCTTCTCCCCGACCCCGAAGATGACCACTCTTCGGGTTCTACTGCACGTCGCCGCTCAGCGTGACTACGAGCTTCACTCTCTTGACTTTAGCACTGCTTTTCTACAAGGCAGCCTGCACGAGGAGATCTGGCTGCGCCGCCCACCTGGCTTCACTGGGTCTTTTCCTCCTGGTACCCTGTGGAGCCTCCGGCGTCCAGTCTACGGTCTCCGCCAGGCGCCTCGCGAGTGGCACGACACACTGAGGACGACCCTTGCGGCTCTTGGCTTTGCTCCCTCTACTGCTGACCCGTCGCTATTTCTACGCAACGACACTTCACTGCCGCCGTTCTACATCCTCGTGTACGTCGCAACTTGGTCTTTGCCACTACTGACACTGAGGCACTGACTCTAGTGAAGTCGGAGCTGCAGAAGAGACACACGTGCACAGACCAGGGTGAGCTGCGCAGCTATCTTGGCTTGCAGATCACCCGGGACAGAGCACGCCGCACCATTACCTTGACTCAGTCATGCATGGTGCTGCAGGTCCTTCAGCGCTTCGACTTCCAGTACTCCTCACCACAGTCCACTCCTCTGCCTACTGGTCACTCGCTCTCAGCTCTGCCTTCGAATGAGTCCGTAGAGCCGAGTGGCCCGTATCCAGAGCTTGTGGGCTGCCTCATGTACCTGATGACCTGCACTCGACCTGACCTTGCTTACCCTCTTAGCATCCTGGCGCGCTACATTGCGCCCGGGAGACACCGACCAGAGCACTGGAAGGCCGCTAAGAGGGTGATGCGCTACTTGTGCAGTACGTCGGGCATGGGGCTCGTGCTTGGAGGACGGGGTCCAGTTGTTCTCACTGGTCACGCAGATGCTGCTTGGGTTGACGACTTGGCTACGCAGCGGTCGTCACAGGGTTACACCTTCAGTCTTGGTTCCGGTTCTATTTCGTGGCGGTCTACCCGCTCGTCTTCCGTTCTCAGCTCCAGCTGTGAGGCTGAGATCTACGCATGGGCCATGGCTGCACAGGAGTTATGCTGGCTCACCTACCTGCTGACCGACCTGGGAGAGACGCCTCGTTCTCCTCCAGTTCTGTACGTCGACAACAAGGCCATGCTGGCCTTGTGTCAGGAGCACAGACTGGAGCACAGAACGAAGCACATTGCTCTGCGCTACTTCCTTGCGCGAGAGTTGCAGCAGCGTGGTCAGCTTCGTCTTGTTTACGTGGCCTCTCAGGCCAACAGTGCTGATATCTTCACCAAGGCACTTCAGCCTTGTGATCATCAGCGGTTCTGTATTGTTCTAGGTCTTGTGCCTATTTGGCCTCACTTGCTCACTTCTTGACTTTGCTTGTACTGTGATCTATATTTTTATACCTGCATGCTTACACTTGCTAGGTTGTGATCACTGTCCTGCGTGTTCTCCCTTATATATAACTCTGCATGTGAACTGGCCTTGTGGTCATTTTGCTTGTGCTCGTAATGTGTGGTGACGTTGTGATCCACCCTGGGCTTGACCTTGCTTCGTTCTCTTGCTTGTCCCCCACTGTGCTTATAGGGGTGTGTCAGAACTATGCTCTAGGCTGTAGTGGGGCACTCCTTAAGGGGTACAGCCCAATTAGGTTTTGCATATACAAACCTTGTACTGCTGTGTTTCTAGTCATTCTTCACTCCTAATTCTGACAATACCATGTTGCAATCAGAAAGTGATCGTTCCTAGGATCACCTCATGAAGGTTCGCACACGACTAGGTGTTGGTGGTGGGCCCTTGACCTCAATAGCAGAGTGAATGTAAAATACTTGCGATTCCCTTATTACAGCGAGATTTAACCGTGCGACTAGAGGTGGTTACGAAACCGTTCGGGCAGAATCCTTGCCACTGCTGCAACTTGATGCCGTCTGCCCGACGGTCCAGATCCTTCCGTAACCGTACGACCTTTCGTGCTATTTCTGCCTTTTCATCTTCATCATCGGTAGTGCGTGCTTTGGTTGCTTGCTGTCGTTAGGAGTGCATAGTGTTGCTTCAATAATTACTATTCGTAACATTCTTTGCTATTATCAGCTTATCTTGTTCTCATACACCAGTGCAAGGTGGTTCAATCAGCCTTCATTAAACGCTTCCGCTAATACATCATTATACTGAGCCTTAGTCTTGAAAACGATCCTAAAGGCTTTTCTCAGCCCAACACGTTCTTGGCCTGTGTCAGGCAGGCTGACATGAAGCTGTGAAGGGTTTGGATTTGATTTATGATGACCTGGAACGATCGGAGCTGTCGATAGCCTTGTGTAAGGAAACTTGACAGAGACCAAGAACGTAGCCTACCTTAGGGTACATTCCTATCCCGTGCCAGACATCAAGTCATGCGGCCTTAGTCTCCAATTTGTCTCTTCCGAACTTCCAATCGCCCCAAAAACGAGCCACCTCGGGTCTTCCGAACCTCCACTTCGTGTCAAACCTAATGCCTGACACGGGATAGGAACGCACCCTTACACCGGTAACCCATTCGTTTCTTCTTGTGTTATAGATTGAGAAAGCTTGCTTGCTGTTCTTGCAGGCAACGGGCTTCATTACAATTGCAGTAATACAACATTCTCGTCCAACTATGGATTATACAATTTTACAACTAGGGTGGGAGGGTGGGGAGTGGAACTGCAAAGTTCCGAAATGAAGTCATGGGTGGAAGCCGTATGGCCTCCAACCCTCTTTATGTACTCGGCAAATTGTAATTCGCCGTTGCTTTGCTGCGTTACAGGCAGCTGCGCTTTCACAATATACATTTTTAGAAAGTGTTAGACACTTTCGAAAAAAATCATATTTAAAAATATATGAAAGCTCGTCTACGCTCGTCAGGAGCTGCACCCCTTCGCGAACAAAAGTCGCCAGCAGCTCGTCTGCATTTGCTGTCAGGGGTGGAGGTACCCGCCAAAACCGGGCCAGTAGCGGTGGGAGGAACCACAATACCCGCCCACCGTTCCATGCAACGTCGAAACGCGGTACAGTACAGTTGTGCCACCGACCCAACCACCCACGCAAAGTGCTTTCCGTGCGGTCAACTACCCCCGCCGCTATTTATACCCCAATACGAACTTCCTTCCCACCCACGTACAATATCTAGGTGGCGTTCTGTTGAGCTAACCCAAGAATCGTAAGATCAGGATAACGCTCCTAGTTAGCAGAAGTCCTAGAATGGTCTTAGGATGCTAGCGGCGAAGCGGAGGAGAGCGCACGGAACGGCGCAAGGAAGGGTGGTTGAGATAGGGAGAAAATGGGTGCGTTTAGGGTTTCGAGCTCTGCTTGTGCTTCCGTTAACATCCTGACTGCTCCGCGTCATCCTCGTTTAGCAGCCAAATCTCCCTCCCTTTCCGCCCGCCTTCCCCTCCGCCACCCTCTCGTCCTCTCCTTCCTCCTCCTCCTCCTCTTCCGCTTCCCCCCCGCGCGCGCGCAAGTCCTCCCCTCAACCTTCCGCGTGCTCTCCTTCGTCGACACCTTCTGCGCCTCCCCGCTCGTTCCGCCCGACCGCCGCGAGGATGACCCCGTTATGGGGCCGCTTCCGGGGGGCACGGGCGCGGGGGCCACGGGCGCGGGGGGGACCGGCGCGGGGGGAACTGGCGCGGGAGGTGCGGAGAACACTGGAGCAGGGGGAGTTGGACCGAACTGCACCGTGTCGGTCTCCACAGGGCTGTTACCGTCACGTGCTGATGCGAACAACAGCGACAGTTACAACAGCTCGCAGTGGCGACTCACATACGTTCTCGCAGTGGGTGTGGTCCCTACCGATTTCGACTGGCCCGACCAGACTGTACAGTCTATACGCGTTAACGGCCGTGAAATGCTCACAGCAGGGCCGTGCAGGCCCGTGGGTCGGTGCGGGGGCACCCGCCCGTTCGCGTGTTACATGGGCGACGTGTCGTGGGCTCTGCCTGCCGCCAGTCGCAACCCAGCAAGCAATAACAGCAGCACTGCTGGTAACCCTATCGTCAACGCAACCCCGACCGTTACAGTAACAGCGTCCGCGGAGGTAGCACAGCCGTGCCGCCTCTGCGGGGGCTTCCAGCAGTTACCCTGTCAGGTGTTACAGGCAGCGGTTCGCCTCACGGCCGTGCTCGTCCCAGACGCGCTGAAGCAGCCGCAGCCAGGTCAGCCGCTACAGGAGCAGCCTCCCTCTGGCGCCGCCACAGCTGTTGGCTCGGCCACGGCATTTGATTCGTCTACAACTGTAGGCTCGGCTACAGCCACAGGTTCGGGTGCAGCCGCAGGTTCGGGTGCAGCCGCAGCTTCGGGTGCAGGGGCAGGAATGGGAGAGGCGAGTGGAGCAGCTGCGATACCAAGAGCCAGCAGCAGCAGCAGCGATGCTGGTGGTAGCGTTGGCAGTGGTGCTGGTGACAGTGTTGGGGGCGGAGGTGGTACGGCGCTTGTTGCACTGCAAGCGCGTTTGTCCGCGTCACCCGCGTCGTCTGTAGCATCTGTCGCGCCTCCAGCCTCTGTAGCGTCCGCGCCCGCAGTTGCAGTGTCGTTTGTGCGGGGGCCAGGGGGGGTGTCGAAGGTGGGGCGCGCGCGGTTCTCGTGGCAGGTGCTGGAGACGAGAGACGCGCTCTCACCTGCGCGCTGTGACGCCTCCACCTTCCTCTGCAAGGTGCGTCCTCCCATGCTCTCACCCCAGCTCTTCCCCATCCTCTCTTCCCTCACTTGCCCATGCCTCCCCGCCTCCTCCTGTTCCCACCAGTCCTCATTCGCTTCATCGTTGTGCAACGTCCAAGGGTTCAATGCGCCTCTGCAGGCGTCCTCCCCTACACGCCCCTCATCACATGCTTCTTTCCCCCTCTTACCTCCCTCTCTCACCTCCCCCTCTCACCTCCCCGTCTCACCTCCCCTTCTTACCTCCCTCCCTCACCTCCCTCTCTCACCCCATTCTCCTGTCTCCCTCTCCCACCTCTTCTCTCACCTCACCCACCCACCTCACTTCCACCCTCCTCATCTCCTCTCACCCCGCCATCCCCTTCCCTCCCCGACCCCCCCACACTTCCCCTGTCCGCGGGGGTGGTTCACAGCGTGCGGCCTCTCGGACGGGCGGCACCTCTTCACAGTCACGGCGCTCAAGGGCGCTTCAGGGGTCACTGGCACCCGCCTGCCTGCACATGTGGAAAACACTCAACCCCTTTATCCCGCAGGCCCGACCCCCTTGGCTGGCCCCACAACCGGACTCGCTTCCCAGCTTCCCCGGCCCTCGCGGGTGCTTCACAGTGGGCAGCCTCATACAGTCACAGCGCTCAAGGGCGCCCCAGGGGTCACTGGCACCCGCCTGCAGGCGTGGATCCACTCAAACGTCATCCCCTCCCTCTTCCGCCACTCTCCTCCCCGTCCGCCCCTCGCCCCTCCTCCGCCCTCCCCCGTGCGCCCCTCCCCGTCCCCCCGCAGCTAGACGCGCTTCCCAGCTTCCCGTGCCCGCGGGGGTGGTTCACAGCGCGCGGGCTGACGGACGGGCGGCACCGCTTCACAGTGATGGCGCTCAAGGGCGCCCCCGGGGTCACTGGCAGCCGCCTGCAGGCCGCTGCTGCTGCTGTTGGCATGGACGGCGCAGAGGGGGGAGGCGGGGTGGGGGGAGGGAGAGGAGGGGGAGGGGCGCAGGTGGAGGCTCAGGCGCAGGCCACATATGAATGGGTCGTTGGTTAGTCTCGCCTTGTCTTTCCTCTTTCTCAGTGCTCTCATCACATTCCATCACTCAGTTCTCAGCAATCGCGTTTGCAGAATTCTCGCCCGGGGCAGCTGTGCACAGGTGGGTGGGTGCACTAGTGCTTGGGTGAGAGGGTGGGTGGGACGGGTGAGGGGCTGACTGGCTGGCTGTGTGGATACAGGACACCCACTGTATCGCTGAGTGCAGCTGCAAAAGGAGAGGCGTAGCTCCCTGTCAAGAGCCCACTCTTGGATATTACACTCTCACACGCCCTTCTCCACCCGTCCCCACTCCTCTCTACCATCCTCTCCTCCCGTGTGCGGCGTGCCCCATCAGACGCAGCCAGTCCAGTGCCAACGCTGACAGTGGACCCGCCACAAGCAAGGGAGGGCGCGGTGCAGATCAGCATAGCCTTCGACAAGCCGTGCCCGGGCCTGCAGTGCAACTCCACTGCCTGCGATGTACGTGATTGCTGCACTTTGTATATGCCTCGCTCCGTCTAGGCGCCCCCAAACGCCACAAGTGCGGGGGGGCTCAGTGTGCATCAGCATTTCGTTTGACCAGCCGTGCCCGGGCCTGCAGCGCAATGCCACTGCGTGTGATGTACGTGAGTGAGTACTTCTCTACGTACATCGCTCCTGTGAAATTTTAATGGAGCACTTGTTTACATGACACATTGTTTAGGCCAGCTTTCACTGTTCGTGTACCCTCAGTGTGTGCCCCCTTGGTCACATTAGGCTCCCTCCATCCCAACCTTATCCCATCGCTCCCAACCTCTGGTTCTCCCGGCATTTAAACCAACGAGTTCTCTCCTCCCCCCTCTCCCCTCCTCCCCTCCCCTCCGTCCGCACTTCCGCCCTCTCCTTTCCTCGCTCACACGCGTCAGGTGGAGGCATCACCGCAGGGCATAGTGAGCATGGACCCCTCGTTGTTCCTGGCATCAGATGACGGGAGCCGATACTCCGTCACTGCCACCCTGCCACCCGCCACCACCAGTAGTAGTAGCAGCAATACCGGAGGCAGTGCTAACGACTCTACCGACAGCAGCAATTCTACCAGCAATGGCGACAGCAGCAGCAGCAGTAGCAGTGCGAGTGGCGCTGCTGTGACTGTGGCTTTAAGACCGGGCAGCTGTGCTGACTCTAGTGGGAGGGCATGGAGGGCAGGGTTTGACTCGTATGCTGTTATTAGGATAGGTAAGCTCATGACTGGCAGAGTTGCCTAGTGGTGTGGAGAGATTGGACCACATGTCTAGTGGTGTGGAGAGATTGGACCACATGCCTAGTGGTGTGGAGAGATTGGACCACATTCCTAGTGGTGTGGAGAGATTGGACCACATGCCTAGTGGTGTGGAGAGATTGGACCACATGCCTAGTGGCGTGGAGAGATTGGACCACATGTCTAGTGGTGTGGAGAGATTGGACCACATGCCTAGTGGTGTGGAGAGATTGGACCACATGCCTAGTGGTGTGGAGAGATTGGACCACATGCCTCGGTGCCCCATTCTCCAACGTTCATGTTCGTCCCTCGGTGCTGCTCACCGTGCCTCTTACTGTGCCTCTTGCCGTGCCTCTCACCGTGCCTCTCACCGCGCCTCTCACCGTGCCTCTTGCCGTGCCTCTTGCCATGCCTCTTGCTGTGCCTCTCGCCGTGCCTCTTGCCGTGCCTCTCGCCGTGCCTCTCGCCGTGCCTCTCGCCCGACCACTGGAAGTTTAACCCACCCAGCCCTGACCCCCGCCCTACCTCTCCCACTCCCCACTTTTTCCCCTCCGACTGCCAGACCACGTCCCTCTCGAGGGCACTCTCTTGTGCAACACGCCCGTTCCTCCCCCACCTCCTTCCCCCCTCCCCTCTTCTCCCTTTTCCATCTCCAGCCAGACCGCGCCCCTCTGGAAGCCACTCTCGTGCGACACACCCTTTGCAGTGGTCAAGTTCTTCACGCAGCTCAGAGCCACGCCACACGTCCAGCCAGCCACTCATTACTACACCCTCGAACCGCACCCAACTCTAACCTCCTCCCATTCCACCCCTTCCATTCCCGCCTTCCAGACCGCGCCCCTCTGGAAGCCACTCTCTCGTGCGACACGCCCTTCGCGGTGGTGAAGTTCTTCACGCAGCTCAGAGCCACGCCACGGGTCAGCCAGTCGCCCGTGACGTGCCGGGTGCTCTTCTCCAAGCCCGTCTCTTCCCTCTCCTCCGCATCCCTCGCTGTCGTCAACGCCACCACCAGCGACCCCCAGCCTGTCACTGACCTTGAGTACCAATTCCAGGTGGGTTTCCTTTTTTCTTTTTCTTCTTCTTTCTTTATTTTCGAAAGTGGAACCTTTTTATTGGTTTTACTGTGAGTCGGTCAATGTCAGAGTCAGGCTTTAAGAGTCAGTCAGTCGCCCGTGATGTGACGTGCCGGGTGCTCTTCTCTTCTCCAAGTCAGTCTCTGCCTTGTCATGTCATCCGCATCCCTCGCCGTCGTCAACGCCACCACCAGCGACCCCCAGCCCGTGACCGACCCATTCCAGGTGGGTTCTGTTTCGAGGGGAATACAGGGTACAGCTTCTTTCTAGGTGGGTTGTCGAAAGAGTTAATTCACGGATTATAAGACTTGGACGGGACGGGGTTTACTGTGAGTCAACGCCACCAGCAGCGACCCCCAAGCTGTGCCTGACCTGGAATACCAGTTCCAGGTGAGGTGACGTGAGGGTTGTGAAGAGTTGAGCTCAGAACCAGTTTCTGGTGTGTTGGGGTACCAGTGGTGGGTGCTGCTGGACATACGCCATACACACACATGTTGCTCCCTGCTCCCTCGCACCCTCCATCCCACTCCGAGTTACCCTTTAGAATTCAACCATCAAGCTCTGTTCCTTGCATGTGATGTGATGCCACTGGCATGTGTGGCCCACGCGAGAGGGCCCAGTGGTGGTGGATATATCATAAACGGCATGAGGACTTGAGTGCTTCACTGCTTGCATGCTCCCGTGTTCCCCTCGACCACCAATCCTTCCCCTTGCTCCGTCGGTGATCCGTCTGGCAGGTGTGGCTGACGGGCGAGGGGGCAGTGGTGGAGGGCATGCGCCATGAGATGAGGACGTCACCCATGCTGCTCTCCTGCACGCTCTTCCCTACCCTAACCCACCAATCAGTCCTTGCCATTTCTCGCCTTTCCTGATGGCATGTGAGATGGCTGACAGGTGTGGCCGACGGGCGAGGGGTCAGTGGTGGTGGACATACGGCATGACAACGTCACTGATGCTGCCGGCAACACGTGCCACCCCACACAGCCCTTCTTCTTCTTCTTTGGTCAGTCTTGTCTGCCCTCCACCCACCCCACCCGCCCCACTCTGTCTTGTGCTCTCCATGTCACGCTTTTCTTTTTTCCACCTGCCAGCCCACGCAGCCCACCGCAGTGTGCTCTCCCCCCCACCGCAGTGTGCTCTCCCCCCCACCGCAGTGTGCTCTCCCCCCCACCGCAGCCTGCTCTGTCCATTTGTCGCACTTTTTGTTGTTGCATTTTCTCGAATTCTCAGAACTGCCCTGCACAACCCTTGACTTTCTACTTGGGTCTGAATGCTCCTTCCATACACTTCTGCATTCACATCCTGGCACTTCGCCATCCTCCCTCCATCCCTCCCGCCCTTTCTCCCTCCTCCCCGTCCCCGCTCACTCTAGACACCACGGCACCGTCAGTGCAGCTGAGTGTGAGTGAGAGCAGCGCCACCACGGACTGGGTCTACCCCATCCTCGTCGCCTTCTCAGAGCCCGTGCTGGGCTTTAACACCTCCTCCATCCAGCTCTCCAATGGAGTCATTACATGGTGAGTGAGATACATGTTTGTGGTGTTGCATGGCTGGGGCTATGGGCTGCCATCGCATGGATGAGAGGTCTACCCCATCCTTGTCTGGCCTTCTCAGAGCATGTGGCCGGGTTGAACAGCTCCTCTTGGCAGCTCTTCAATGGGGTCATTATCTGGTGACCGAGATTACTGCCGCTATGGCACAGCAACCTATGGCACATGCGCATGCGCTGATCACCTGGATTATAGTAGCGCTATGAGCTGACAACGGTGGCAGTGAGCGACGGCGACATGTGTTTGTGTTGTTCTCCTCTCCCTTCATCCGCACCATGCCATCTCCCTTCATCCGCACCATACCATCTCCCTTCATCCGCACCATGCCATCTCCCCGCACCATGCCATCACCCTTCATTCGCACCATACCATCTTCCCGCACCATGCCATCTCCCCGCACTATGTTCCATGCCCCCATCATGGTCTGCCATCTCCCATTCCTGTTCCAGCTGGACAGGGGTTGACAGGGGTTTGGGGCGGTACTACGAGGTGACGGTGGCGGCAGTGAGCGATGGCGATGTGACAATAGTGGTGCCGGCAGCAACTGTGGTGGACATTGCAGGCAACCCCAACTCGCCCTCCAACACCCTCTCCCTCGCTCACTGTGGGTCCACACACTCTCTCTCTCACACAATAGGTTGACACTCTCCTATTTAGTCGAACCAAGTCAACAGTGGTGGATAATGCAGGGAACCTGAACTTGCCCTCCAACACACCCTCCCTCGCTCACTGAATGTGCCAACACACCCTCCTCAGTCACTCTGGGTTAACACTCTATCCCTCCTACGCTGTGGGGTAGCACTCTCCATCCCTCACTCACTGTGGGGTAGCACTCTCCCTCCCTCACTCACTGTGGGGTAGCAATCTCCCTCCCTCACTCACCGTGGGGTAGCACTCTCCTTCCCTCACTCACTGTGGGGTAACACTCTCCCTCCCTCACTCACTGTGGGGTAACACCCCCCCTCACACGCACTGTAGGATGGCACACCGCTGCTCTCTCCCCGTCCAATGCTCCGCCCTTGTGGGACGGCTCTCCCTTCTCCTTCCCCTCTCGCCTTCTCTCTCTCCCATACAGACGCGCCAGGAGATGCGGGCACGATAACAGCGTGGGTGGTGACGGCAGTGGTGGGGTGGACGGCGCTGTCCACAGCAGCGGTGTCGCTGGCGGTGACCATCAAGGAGTCCGACCCCACGTCCTCGCCGGGCATCCGCATCGTCTCCAACCGCCCCTTCCGTGCCGTCAGCACGCCCGTCGTGGGCGCGGATCCCTCTCGAAACGTTCTCGTGAGTTGGTGGTGTGCCCGACCGACAGGACAGCCTGGCAGTCAGTCACCATCAACGAGTCACACCCCACCTCGTCTCCCACCTCCACTCGCCCCTCAGCACATGGCACTGCTTCTGCAAGTCGTTGCCCTCACACTCACACACAACCTGGGTGGGGGCTCACTCATTCTCCTCGTGTCACGCCCCTCCCCCCCTTGTCCCCCACAGCGCATGGCTCTGCACCTGCAAGTGTTCGCCTTGACGCAGCACCTGGCAGTGCGCGTGCTGCCGCTGTTCTACCGCCAGCTCACAGGCGGGCTGCGCTGGACCTACTTCTACATCCCTGCGCCCTTCAAGGGCTCCTTTGATGGCTGGAAGGGCGTCTACTCCTCTCCCTCTGACGCCCCCGGCCAGGACAGCAGCACCCCCCCGCCCTCCTGTGCTCCGTAAGTGCTGGCTGCTACTACAAAGTCATTGGAGTGATGTAAGGGTATCCTGGCATCATAGTATACCCTTTTGGGATCATGTGTTGTTGAGTCATCTTCCGACGATGGGTGGGGAGCGAGTGCATCTCCCTCTGAGGCACCGGGGCAGGGCGACAGCACCGCCCCGCCCTCATGTGTGCCGTGAGTGTAAGTTCTCACTTGCTACCCAATCTTCATGCTTCAACACATCCTATGGTTGAGGCGCCTCAATAGGCCCCGGGCAGGACAATAGGCCCCGGGCAGGACAATAGGCCCCGGGCAGGACAACAGCACTGCCCCCCCCCCACACTCCTGTGCGCCGTGAGTGCTTCATTGTTTCCCGCCCCTCTCACTTCCGCCCACCCCCCTCTCAACCCCTGCCTCCATCTCTCTCTGTCTCTCCCCTTCTCTCCCCTCCCTTCCACCAGCCACTACCTCGCCACCAAAACAAATTGCTCTCGCTCTTGCAACCCCTCTCAATCCCTTCGTTCTGCCCTCTGTCCCATTGTTCTCCCCCTCCCCTTCCCCCCTTCTCTCTTCTCACCATCTCTCCTCTCCCTTCCACCAGGCACTATCTCGCCACCAAGGCGGACAGCTCTGCATCCTCCTCCTCCAACCCCCCTGAACCACTATCAACTCCTCTGTTCTGCCTGCTGTCCCATTGTTCTCTCTCCCCCCTATCTCTCCCTACCACACACAAGGCACTACCTCGCCACCAAGGCAGACAGCTCTGCCTCCGCCTCCTCCTCCAACCCCTCTGCCTCGCCACAATCCAAGCTCTCTTTCTGGTCTAAGTTCTTCTCCCCACCACCAGCAGCAGTGGGCAACACAGCAGCTGACAGCACAGCAACACACGCCTCCCTCAACCCGCGCAACCTCCGCCGTGTTCTCTCCTCCTCCTTCCACTTCCTCCTCTCCTCTCTCTCCTCTCTCTCCTCTCCCCCGTCCTCACATTCCCACCGTGTACCCTACTCTCACACAATCCACTCCCCTCGCTCTCTCCCCGACCGCTTCAATACTGCCGACTCCTTGCCGCCCCATGCCCATGCCCATGCCCATGCGCATGCCCACGCGCATGTGCAAGCACGGCAACTAACCAAGTCACATGTGCACATGCAGCATGCCATGTCGCATCCAAGCCTGACGCACGGTCGCAGTTTGGGGTCGTCTCGAGCCCTCCCCTTCCACCCCATCCCCTTCTCGCCCCCACCCACCTTCCACCTACGAGGCCTGCCCTTGACCGCCCCCTCTCTCCCCTCCTCCTTCCCCTCCTCCCTTCACTCCGCCTTCCCATATACTCTCCTCCCATCGTCCCTATCGTCTCGTGCGCCCTCCCACTATCATCGCATGCTTCAAGAAACTACCGCCAGCACCACCAGCAACAGCAGCGCAAGCGGTTACAGTGGCTTCAATGCGACTGCTCTTATAGCCCTGGCAGTTGCAGGGGGTGGGACAGGGGGAGACGCAGCAGCAGCAATAGCAGCAGCGAGGGGGTTCGACCCCACGTTGCTGCCGCGGCTGAGCGAGGAGGAGTATGAGTACATGCAGGCGTGGGGCGATGCTTACTACTCGCACTTCCCCAACCTCTTCTACTCCTACCATGGGTGAGCGCGCCTTTTAGATTGCTACATGGCTCATGTCTTGTGTCATGCCCTCAGGCCATGTGTCATGCCCTCATGCCATGTGTCGTGCCCTCATGCCATGTGTCATGCCCTCATGTTGTTCCTGAATGCTTTTCCTCTCACGTCCTCACATCCTCAGGTTTGCCCCGTTCTTGTTGGCTCTTCGTTTCTCCCCATCTATTTAACTCGAAGAACCAATTCTACTCCTTTCTTTCTTTCTGCACCCCTCCCCCTTCCTGCCCCCCCTCCCTCCCCCACCCCACCAGCTTTGAGCAGTTCTGCACGGTGCCCTTCTGTTTTGCCTCCTCTTCTTCGCCCTCTCCCCCCCTCTTTCCCCAACTGCCATCGCTCAACCCAACCAAAACCCTCATCTCGCTTCCCATCCCTCTCCCCACTCCCCTCCCCACGCCCCGTCTCCCCACCCCACGGCGCCAGCTTTGAGCAGTTCTGCACGGTGCTGTTCTGGTTTGCGCTCTTCTTCTTCGCCCTCTCGCTGCTGCAGCTGCTCTTCCAGTGGGCGTGGCAGCACTGGCGCTACCAGTGGCTGTACGGCCTGCTCGACCCGCCGCGCCTGCAGTTCCTCCTGCTCGCGCTCTCCCTGGCGGGCATCTCCTGGGGCTGCACGCTGCTCATCAGGGGCAGCATGGAGCCGGGCGGCACAGCAGCAGGGCTGGCAACGGGGGTGATCGTGCTGTGCCTCTGGCCCGTGCTGTTTCTCATCTTCTCCTTCTCAGTCGTCTGGTACATCGTTGTTCAGGTGGGTTGGGTTGAATTCAGGCGCGGTTCTGGTGGGTTCGAGTGTGGTTCTAGTATGGTTCTGGTGGGGTGAAGAGGAGGAAAGCGTGCTGTGCTGCTATTCTCTGGTTTGAGCTGCGGGCGGGGTGATAGGTCTCCACCTCTGGCCCGTGCTGTTTCTCATCGTCTCCTTTTCAATCGTCTGGTACACTGTTGTCCAGGAGGGTATTGTGCTGTTCAGGCAGGTGAGACGAGGGGGTGTGGTTCGGTGGGTGGGGTGGATGGGTGCATGCGTGCTCTTATCAGTTGCTCAAATGTTGGCTTCTCAGGTCGAGACTCAGACGGCCGAGGCCCGCAAATGGCATTGACCAGCCTACCCTCCCTTCCGTGTACCACTCTCCTTCGTGATTTGTTACTTGATTCAAACACCAGTTAAGGCACAGATGTTTGTGAGTCCTATGAACACAACCTCACTCTCGCACTCTTCCTCTCCCCCTCCCTTTCTTCTCCGCTCAACTCGCCACTGCTGCAGCAGCAATTTGATCTTTTCTTCGTGCAGGGGATGGCGGAACCGGGCCCCACCCTCATCTCCATCCCCGTCTCCTCTCCTCCTTTCCTTTCCCTCCCCTTCCCCACAATCCTATCCCCCCTCCCTTGCGCAGGAGCAATTCGCGCGCTTCTTCGTGCGCGAGATGACGGAGCCGCGCAACGAGGCGTGCATCGCGTCCTTCGCGCGCGCCTTCTGGGCCGCGCTGCGCCAGAAGCGACTCAAAGGCCACTGGGTCACCATCACGCCCTCCCAGAAGCACATCCTTCCGAGATTCGGAATATTCTTTGAAGACTTCACAGGTGAGGGGGTGAGAGAATGCTGGAGGGATTGACTGATGAGGGAAGCAGTAAGCATGTGCGACTCTCTGGTGTGGCTGGAGCGGGTCAAGGAAAGGGCCAGTGGGTCACCATCACGCCGTCTCAGAAACACATGCTGCGGTGATTCGCCATCTTCTTTGAAGACTTTACAGGTAGGGCGTTGAGGGAACAGGCGGGGCTGCAGCTCATGTAATGTCTCTCTGATTTAGAGTGGTTCCTTACATATCAAGCACCCTTGTCACCTGAACAACTGAACACCTTTTTCCATTCGAAACACGCCTTTACATTTGGACCAACCTTGCTTCTGACATCACTTGGATTTTATTGTTGGTTTATTTGTGTAACTAATCCCCTACGCCCCTCTCACCCCTCCCGTCTCACCGCTGCCTTGTGCCAGTGTGGGGATCTGTGGGCGCCTGGGGTGTGTTCAAAAACTGACTCAGGGCTGCTTCTCATACCACTTTCCGATGCTGTCCCTTGTTTCTCATGCCCCCTCTGCCTCTCTCCCGCGCGCCTTTTTCACCCTTGCGTCGTGCCATACCAGTGTGGGGATCTGTGGGCGCCTGGGGGGTGCTCAAAGACCGGCTGAGGGCTGCCTATGGCACTCTGGACTTTCTTAAAATGGTAAGTGTTGCTGTTTATGGCACTCTGGACTTCTTAAATGGTAAGTGCTGCTGTTTATGGCACTCTGGACTTCTTAAATGGTAAGTGTTGCTGTTTATGGCACTCTGGACTTCTTAAATGGTAAGTGCTGCTGTTTATGGCACTCTGGACTTCTTAAAAGGTAAGTGTTGCTGTCTATATGGCACTCTGGCTTTCTAGTATGGGCTGCTGTTCTTAGTTAACGTGACTGTTTGTTCACAATCCCTTATACACACTCCCCTCCGCACACTCCCTTACTAACACTCCCTAACACTTTCTTACGCCCTACCCACACAGCCCTGATCCTATGCACGCACTCAATTTAAAGAAGCCTTCGCTCTTCCCTACTTCTCTTTGTCTGTCTGTCTGTCTGTCTGTCTGTCTGTCTGTCTGTCTGTCTGTCTGTCTGTCTGTCTGTCTGTCTGTCTGTCTGTCTGTCTGTCTGTCTGTCTGTCTGTCTGTCTGTCTGTCTGTCTGTCTGTCTGTCCGTGTGTGTCCTTGTGTCTGTCTGTCCATGTGTATCCGTTTGTCTGCGTGTCTGTCTGTGTGTGTGTTTGTCCATGTCTGTCTGTCTGTCTGTCTCTGTGTCTCTGTGTCTGTGTCTGTGTCTCTGTGTCTCTGTGTCTGTGTCTGTGTCTCTGTCTCTGTGTGTGTGCAGGTGCTGGTGGGAGCGCTGGTGGGAGCATGGAGCCCGGCAGGCAATGCTGTGGCGCAGCAGGCATGCCTGCTCACCCTCGCACTGCTGCACCTGCTCTTCCTGCTCTTCCTTCAGGTGCGTTCTGGACTCACTACAAGCACACTCTTCCTTCAAGTGCGTTCTGGACTCACTACAAGCACACTCTTCCTTCAGGTGCGTTCTGTACTCACTACAAGCACACTCTTCCTTCAGGTGCGTTCTGGACTCACTACAAGCACACTCTTCCTTCAGGTGCGTTCTGTACTCACTACAAGCACACTCTTCCTTCAGGTGCGTTCTGTACTCACTACAAGCACACTCTTCCTTCAAGTGCGTTCTGGACTCACTACAAGCACACTCTTCCTTCAGGTGCATTCTGTACTCACTACAAGCACACTCTTCCTTCAGGTGCGTTCTGTACTCACTACAAGCACACTCTTCCTTCAGGTGCGTTCTGGACTCACTACAAGCACACTCTTCCTTCAGGTGCATTCTGTGCATTCTGTACTCACTACAAGCACACTCTTCCTTCAGGTGCGTTCTGTACTCACTACAAGCACACTCTTCCTTCAGGTGCGTTCTGGACTCACTACAAGCACACTCTTCCTTCAGGTGCATTCTGTGCATTCTGTACTCACTACAAGCACACTCTTCCTTCAGGTGCGTTCTGTACTCACTACAAGCACACTCTTCCTTCAGGTGCTGCTATTTGCTGCATGCTCAAGTGAACCACTCTCCTCTAACATCCAATCACCATTCCGCACGTTCCCCTCCCCTGCACTCCACCCCCTCCGCGTGCCCAACAGCCCTTCACAGAGCGAGGGCTACAGGTGGTGGAGTGGAGGCAGTGAGCTCGGCGCGGAGGTGGTGCCGTGCTGTTCTGTTTGCTGATATATCAACCACACTGTACACAACTCAACCACCGTACACCCCTCCTCTCCTTTCCACTCCTCTCCACCCTCCCCAACAGCCCTTCACAAAGAGAGGCTTACAGGTGGTGGAGGTAGTGAGCTCGAGGGCAGAGGCAGTGCTTTCCTTTTTGGGTTATCTGAGCCACATTGTACACAACTCATCTCCTGGTTTCGCCGTTTCTCCCGCCCCCCATCAACAGCCGTTCACGGAGAGAGGCCTACAGGTGGTGGAGGCGGTGAGCTCGGGCGCGGAGGTGGTGCTGTTTGCATGTGCGCTGGCCATGGCCATCGACTGGGACATGCCTTCCAGCTTCGCTGGCACTCTCGGGCTCGTCATGGCGCTCGCGGTCGGCCTCGCCTTCATCGGCCAGCTCTTCAACCAGTCAGTGCTGCCCTGCTGTTCTTTACCTCCCCAGACACTGTTGCTGACGTATGCTGGTATTCACGTGAGTGACACTTGGGCAGCAGATCAGCCGCAGACTCATGCTCTGTTTGCCTTGACTGAAAAAGATTATTTTCCTTATTTTCATCAACATATCTCATCTCACATATCGTTCCCCTCCCCTTTCTTATTCACCTCAACCCCAATGCCTCCCCCTTTCACGATCTATTATTCGCGTTGCAGCTGGGTGGCACTAGGGCAACAAATCAACCGCATGCTCAACCCACCTGACGACGAGAGAAGCCCGTCTCACCGATCGGACGGGGACGATTTCTCGGATAACGACGACGATGACCTGGACGACGACGACGATGACGAGGATTTCGATGACGAGGACGACGGGAACGGTGACGAGGACGAGGATGATGATGACGACGATGATTACGATGATGAGGAGGATGATGACGAGGGGGATACAAGCATGGATGAAGCGGAAAGAATACGGCAGCAGCAACAACAGCAACAGCAGCAGTAGCGGCAGCAGAATCAAGAGTATTATCCTTCCTCATGTGCCATCCCTTGATTCCCTCCTTCCGCCACTAACATGGCAGCCATATGCTGCCGTAACACTCTCTAACCACTGGTTGACTCTCCAAACTTTCTCCGATCTTGCCTCTGAACTAACAAACTGCTGGCTCTCCCTCGCTGATAGCACCACTGCTGCTGTGCTCTTAGTAAAGCTTGACCGAGTCTGCTTGCTGCAACCACTCGCTGCCTGCAAGCTGATACTTCTCCGACCATAGGTGGGTTAGTTGCTAATCTTATCCTTATTTATTAATTATACTTGGTTTTTTTTCATAATTAGGAATACGTGAGATACCAGTAATGGAGCCTGGATAGAAGTTCAGGATTGTACATATTCTTACACTTCTACCCGTCATTGCCCAGATATAAAAGTCATTGTCGAATTGTAGACATGGGTGTCTTGAATTAGGGTAGATTCTTATTAAGGGTTGTCCTGGTTATAAGAAACCGAAGTGTGTGTACGAGTTTATACGTATGTCTTATAAACGATGGTTGTCTTCTAAACAAGGGGTGTTTTCTACACGGTTTCTAGCATTAGCAGGGTTCAAGATACACACGAGTAGCACCGCCGTTCCTATCTACCGTAATCCCCCTTGGTCACGCCCTCTTTATCTGCACTAGCAGTAGAGGCCTCGTACTGTCTGGAGTCGGGCACGCTGAGGTTCTCAGCCAGGGCTGTAGCCCCACGGTAGTTGGGGGTCTCTGGGGACAACACCTCCAGACCAGTTGCCACGCCGACTTCCCTGAAGCCGCCGGCCTGCAGCTCCTCCTCCTCATCCTCCTCCTCCACCCCCCCCCCCCCCCCTCCCCCCCCGCCAAAACCTGCAGCCTCCTCCTCCTCAAGAAGGCGTGTGTTGTCCATGTGCTCCCCCGCAAAAAGATGTCCTCAGACACGTCCGTGGTGCTCTTGGCCTGCATGTGAGCCAACACCAACTGATTCTCGGTCCCATCAAGCTTGTCGGAGATCACGCAGGTCTTGAAGGCCTTGACGATGAAGTATCGTGGCACTTGCTCCCAGGCCTCCGCAATCTACTTCAGCAACACGTGATGCGAGGGCCTCCTAAAGTTTCCTAAGAAGGCAATGAAATGGTGCATGTCAGTCTATTGTATGAAAACCAGGAAGAATCAGGGGATGAGAAGGCAGATTCAACGTAGCACCTCACACGCTGGCGACTTTAGGTTTATGCCATATTGCATAAACAACCTGCAGTAGTGAGATCACAAGGCGATCGGAAGGGGGTGGTGAGGTTGTAAACCCACGTAAAGCCTTTCACAACGAGGCGGGCCTTGTAGCAGACATGGTACTTCGTCGTCAGCACCCAGCGGTTCTTCATGACGTTGACTCTGCGAGGGCGCTCCACAAGCTCCCACGTGCCATTGGCGAGAAGACCCCGTATCTCCTCGTCCATCGCCGCTTTCACTGCCTTGCCCTACTAGCTCTCCAATGCCTCCTTGACCAGCATGGTCACGATAACGTTGCTTAGGGTCAGCGTGCATGTCAAGGTCGAGCTCGGAGAGGCCGACGTTGGCTTGCGCATCGTCGAAGATAGTGTTGCAGACAGGGAAGAGAGAACTCTAGCCGTACAATGAGAGATAGTTTTACACTGAAGAGAGCTCTGCTGCGTACAATCCTGTGCGCTTTGTACTGAGCCGTTTTACTGTCGAAGATAGTTTTACACTATCGAAGAGTTGGGTACAAGTGTAAAACTCTAGGAAACTGTACCCCTTAGTGTCTACCCCACTACAGCCTAAGTAGGCTATATGATAAATGTTTGACACACCCCCATAGGCAAGTGGGGGAGAACAAGGGGTCACAAGACCAGTCAAGCAAAGCAAAGCAAAGCAAGCTCAGGGTGGATCACAACGTCACCACACATTCCGAGCACAGGTTCAAAGGCCACAAGGCCAGTTCACATGCAGGATTATATATAAAGGTGAACAAGCAAGTGCAGGTATATATATACATATATATATATCACAGTACACAGCAAAGTCAAGAGGTGAGTAAGTGAGGCCAGGTAGGTACAAGACCTAACATAGTACAGAAGCGCTGATGATCACAAGGCTGAAGTGCCTTGGTGAAGATATCAGCAGTGTTGGCCCGAGAGGCCACGTAAGCAAGGCGCAGCTGACCGCGCTGCTGCAGCTCACGAGCAAGGAAGTAGCGAAGAGCAATGTGCTTCGTTCTGTGCTCCAGTATGTGCTCCCGACACAAGGCCAGCATGGCCTTGTTGTCTACGTACAGAACTGGAGGAGAACGAGGCGGCTCTCCCAGGTCAGTCAGCAGGTAGGTGAGCCAGCGTAACTCCTGTGCAGCCATGGCCCCTGCGTAGATCTCAGCCTCACAACTGGAGCTGAGAACAGAAGACGAGCGGGTAGACCGCCACGAAACAGAACCGGAACCAAGGCTGAAGGTGTAACCCTGTGACGACCGCTGCGTAGCCAAGTCGTCCACCCAAGACGCGTCTGTGTGACCAGTGAGGACCACTGAACGCCGCCCTCCAAGCACGAGCCCCATGCCCGACGTACTGCACAAGTAGCGCAACACCCTCTTCGCTGCAGCCATGTGCTCTGGTCGGTGTCTCCCAGGAGCAACATAGCGTGCCAAGATGCTAAGAGGGTATGCCGGGTCAGGTCGAGTGCAGGTCATCAGGTACATGAGACAGCCAACAAGCTCTGGGTACAGGCCACTCGGCTCTACGGACTCATCCGAAGTCAGAGCTGAGAACGAGTGACGAGTAGATAGAGGAGTGGCGCGAGGCGAGGAGTACGTGAAGTCGAAGCGCTGAAGGACCTGCTGCACCATGTGTGACTGAGTCAAGGTAATTGTGCGCCGTGCTTTGTCCTGGTAGATCTGCAAGCCAATATAGCTGCGCTGTTCACCCAGGTCTGTGCACGTGTGTCTCTTCTGCAGCTCCGACTTCACGTGGGCGAGTCCAGCAGTGTCAGCTGTAGCAAAGACCAAGTCGTCGACGTACACGAGGATGTAGAACGGCGGCAGAGAGGTGTCGGTGCGTAGAAACAGTGACGGGTCAGCTGTAGAAGGAGCAAACCCAAGGGCCGCAAGCGTAGTCCTCAATGTATCGTGCCACTCACGGGGCGCCTGACGGAGACCGTAGACTGGCCGCCGGAGGCTCCACCGGGTACCAGGAGGAAACGACCCAGTGAAGCCAGGTGGGCGGCGCAGCCAGATCTCCTCGTGCAGGCTGCCCTGTAGGAAAGCAGTGCTGAAGTCAAGAGAGTGAAGCTCGTAGTCACGCTGAGCCGCGACGCGCAGCAGACCCCGAAGAGTGGTCATCTTTGGGGTGGGGGAGAAGGTCTGAAAGTAGTCTACTCCCTGCCGCTGACTGAAGCCTCGAGCCACGTAACGCGCCTTGAAGACAGGCGGAGAACCCGGCGGCCGCTTCACCCTGAAAATCCACATGCCACTGACGATGTTCGCCCCAGGAGGGGGAACCTCGTCGACGTAGGTGCCTGTGGACTTCCAGGAAGCCATCTCTGCGTCCATGGCTGACTGCCACTGAGAGGAGTAGGGACCCTCTATCGCCTCTGCGTAAGAGCGCGGGGTCGGGATGTCTGGTGCATCCGGGTCTCCCTCAGGGGCAAGCAGCATGGACACGAGATGGGGTACAGCAGCAGCAAAACACTGGAACTCCTCCTGCCTGTCCTCAAGGACGTCCGTGCTAAGAGCACACTCACCCCCGACGGACAGAGGACAGACAGACTCAGACTCAGCAACAAGACTAGCGGCGTAGTCTAGACGACAGTGAGCAGCGAAGTCGACAAGCTCAACAACTAAGGCAGACGCAGCAGTGGACTCAAAGGAAGGGTCAGTGACAACAGAGGCCAGGAGACGCGTGACAGTAGGACTGGCAGCACGAAGGGCGTCAGACTCCGGGTCAGTAAGAGCAGGAAGAGAGGACGCCGGAGGGGACGGCAAGGAGACACGCTGTGGAGCACTGGAAGGACGCAGTGTCATCTGGTGCGTGCCTGGGACCGCGGGAGGACGCTGACGCAGAACACGACAACTAGTGCAAACAGCACGAACAGGCGACGCAGGACGAGCCTCAGGCTCACGACGCTCAGCAAGACCCCCAGTAGGACCAGTGTAAGGAGAAGGAGCAGGCAGTGGGGAGGCCAGCTGTAACTGTGACTCGGACTGGACAGGCAGTGGACACTCTAAGGAAGGAGCAGGACCAGTAGAAGGCGGGAGACCAAGAACCTGCTCAAGGAGCGGAACAAAGTACGGCCGTGGCCACGCAGCGCCTCCAGAACCAGCAGGGACAGCACCAACTCCAGCAGCACCACCAGCTCCAGCAGTACCACCAGCTGCAGGACCCCCAGCAGCTCCAGCTCCAGCAGGACCACCGGAAGACGCAGCAGCTCCAGCTCCAGTACCTCCAGCAGCACCGACTCCTGCAGCACCGCCAGCTCCAGCACCTCCAGCAGCTCCAGCACCAGTAGCACCACCAGGCCCGGCAGCTCCAGTACCTCCAGTTTGAGCACCTCCGGGACCCATGGGTCCAGAACTCCCAGTAGCCCCAGCAGCAGCAGGACCTCCAGCAGCAGCAGAACCGCCAGTGCCGGCAGCACCACAGCTCCAGCAGCACGGCTCCAGCGCCGAGCAAACCACTCTCGCAGCTGCTGTGGGGAGAGTACCTCCCGCCGGGACGAAGCACCCGAAGGACCTCAAGGCCCACCACCGCCAGACTCCACCCGAGTAGGCCAAGCACCCTCAGGCTCCGCACCCCCAGACTCAGCAACCCCAGGCTCAGCACCCCCAGACCCAGCACCCCCAGGCTCAGCACCCTCAGCAGCACCATAGTCAACAGCTACCTCGACAGGCTCGACTGCGTCTACCTGAGGGGGCAGGACCCTGAGGGGGGAGGGGGTCTACCGGGGGGGGACCTGGCGCAAGGAAGAGCGGCGGGGGGGGGAGGGGGGCAGTGC